CAAAATCCTAAGAGCAGGAAACAGGCTGGTAAAACTACTGAGCTACAAATACATGCTATCCTTCCTGAAAACAGAAGGATGACTACAGGGGTGAAGCTGAAAGTCTAGAAATAAAGCTTTGAGCCACAGATTATTCCCAGGCCTTGAAATCTAATGGAATTTCCTTGGCTGGATTTCAAAATTGCCTGAACCTGTGACTCCATTTTCCATTCATTTTCTCCCGTTTTGAATGAGAATTTCTATAAATGGAATACTATGTCTGCGCCTAGGGAAAAGGCTGATGAATGTGGTGTTGGATAAAACTCATCTGGCCACTTTGTACCATCAGACTGAAATGAGAAAAGTCTGGAAATGTGAAAACCTGTTAAGAACTAGACTAAACTAAAAACTAGGATGGGGAAGTAGGACTTTAAAGAAAGAAATTAATATCAAGAGATTTTGTTTATTTTCTTTTCACCTGGTACTTGCTGTCCATATCCTTTACTGTACTCATGTTTAATGGCCAAATAAAGCCCCTTCTAACTCACTCAATTCTTTCTGACTCTTCTAACCATCATTGAGTCTCCTATTCTACAAATGATCATATCAGACAACTTGGAATACTAGACTCTCATGATGCTCCGAGCAAAACTGCTTTTGTGGGCAATCAAGTTAAATGAACTACATACTGTATCTCTTCTTGGACATTCACAATGAATATAGGCATATTAAGGCGCTGACAAAGGCCTTAATAAAGATCCTTGTTTAACTTTATTCAGTTCAATGTTTCCCAAACTGGCCATCAAGGGCAGGGGCCACATCTTATACTTGCATCAAGTGTCTAATAAATATATTGTTTCATGAAAATTCATTTGCACAGGCATTTCAATGTAATGATGCTTACACAACCCATCCTTTGTATCTACAAATAAAGCTGTGCTCTGCTGAAGACCAACAATAGAACATATGTATGTGTGTGTATATGTGTGTTTGTGTGTGTGTGCATTTACACAGATATGGTCTAACAGAAAGGAGATATGGAGTATTGAGAAAAAGTGAAAAAAATGCATCATGATGTCTTAACAAATGATGAAATAAACCATAAACGTATTAAAAGGAATTGAATTTAATACTAATAAAGTGCTTTTTACAATGCTTTTTACATGTCTTAGCTTTAAACATTAACTTACCAATCGCAGCTTTGCCCCAGATTTGTACATGGAGGTCTGTTTTCCTTTGGTGGACTTATTTAATATCTGAAGGCTGCTTTTAAGTCTGTGTTGTTGCTCACTTTTTTCATCTGCTTCCCAAGGATTCCATTCTTCACTTCTCAAAGTAGACTGTTCTGTGTTATAAAAAAGATAAACAAGTATTATCAGTAAGGTAGAGCTGCAGCTATATATAAATGCAAGCCATTTAAATCAGACATTAGGGAACTTTAATTGCATCTTAACTTCAATTTTTCAAAGAGATAGAACAACATTATTTGACCTGGTTAAACACACACTATAAAAATAAAAAAGGAAATCAGAATTTAATTTTGATTGAATCTCTACTTTGAAAGAGCTTGAAATAAAATGTTAACACGAGGTTAGAAATTGTCTCTCCCCAACAAAGCCTTCTAAAATAATTGGGTACAGTAACATGTATCGAGTTACAAGTTTTTTTGCTAATTCTTTATAGATTGTGTATACATAATACAATCTGTATACATAAACACTTGATTTCAGAATGTAAAGTGTCCAACAGTTTCAGATACTATTGTGCAAAGTTCTTGGAGAAGGGAGAAATAAGACCGAGTCCGATCCTGACTTAGGTCAAAATCAAAAAGAGGGATCAGAACCTGGGGATAAAGCGCTCTGGCCTTCCGAAGTCAAGGAAGGATTACAGCAGTAGAGTTTTTGTTTCAATATGGAAATAGATGTCTTTAAGTTAGCGGCATTCCCGCCAATCTCTGGCGTTTGTGACACTGCCTTGGACACTTACGATGTCTTTTAAAGGTGTGCGCACCTGTCGGCCCCAAGGGTAGGGAGTGGGGACGGCGTGAGAGATTTGGGGGAGGATTGAGGCAGTGATACATCCTCAAATCCAAGGCCAGGGCTGGCTACCGAGAGCTGGAGGAGGAAAAGCGTACATCGGGGCCCGGGGGCGATTCCGGACCCGACAGCGGGGTCCTCGGCCGCGCGGCTCGGCTGGTCCGACCCCCACAGCCCCGAAGCCCCGCGTCCGGGCGCGCAGCAGAGGAGGGAGGCCGCTGATGGGTGTCCTACCTCGTTGTCCGCGCCTCCCCCGCGACGGGACGGCCCCCTTCCGGAGGGCCCGTAAAGACGCGGCCGGCGCCCGGCGGCGGCGCCCGAAGAAGACGTGGTAGGCGGCGTAGAGGGAGAAGAGGCAGTACAAGGCGATGAGAAACGAGCAGAGACGCTTCCGCGTCAGCCGCATCCCACTTAGGCTTCCCGTCAGGACACCGCCACCGTGGAGATGGGCCGCGCACGGGTGAAGCTGCCGCTCAGCGTCCCGGCCTCGGCGGCGTCCGGTGCAGGCCCAGGCCCTGGCCCTGCCGGAGGGAGTCA